TATCAAATTGCGCACACAAATATTATCCGTTCACAATCCGATGTCCACAGGTAGGTACAGGTAAAATCGCCTTCCAATGCTATTTGATAGGGAAAAGTGTTGATATTAGCTTAAAAAAATAAAAAATGGAACATAGCGCGCCCTCTAGTAGCAATAGTATGTATAGTCTTACTTTTGTACTTTTGTATCGTATGTCAGTATTGTCACCTGTCATGGAGACATGATTCTATGGAGACATGTTATTGTTTTCTAAAAAAACAAAAATAGTTCCTTTCAGACAGTTGAACAAGTCGGTGTGTTTCATCGCATGGAAAAATTGTTGAAATAAGTTTTACCGCAGTTTTGTTCGTTCCGTGAAGTGAAAAAATAAATAGTAAAATGTCGATTAACTATTTAAACAGTTGTCCAAAACTACTCGGTCGCGAAAACATCGACGAGTGGAGTTTTGCAGTGGAAAACATTAACGTTGCTGGAAGTCCTAACGAAATGCATTAATGGGAGTGAGACGGACACAGTTTTGGTTGCCAAAGCAAAGGCAAAACTCATCCTCACTATCGATCCCTCTTTGTACATGCACGTTAGAGAGGCCACTACTGCAGAGGAAGTGTGGTTGAAGGTCAAAAATCTCTATGAAGATACTGATTTCGTCAGGAAAATTGGGCTCTTGCGCACGTTAATATCTCTTCGTTTGGGAAGCTGTGAAAACATGGAAAGTTACGTAAACCAAGTCGTTGGAACGTCTCAGAGACTGAAGAAGACAGGTTTCAACATCGACGAGTAGTGGATCGGTTCCCTGCTTTTGGCCGGACTCCCAGAAAGGTTTGCTCCTATGATCATGGCAGTGGAGCACTCTGGTATGAGGATTACTACTGGTTCCAAAAAGACGAAGTTACTGGACATGTGCACAGATGGCGCCACAGGTGGTAAAAGTGGAAATGTAAGAAAAGTGGGCATTACATGTCTCGTTGCCCGGAAAAATCTAATACATCGCAAAGAAACGCATTTAGTGCAGCATTTCTTAGCAGCAAGTATAACAAAAACGATTTTTACTTGGACTCAGTAGCGAGTAAACATATGACTTAGAACCAAGTATAAAGGAAATTCTTGTAGCAAACGAACAGATTTTATCTGTAAAATGTTCTGGAAGTTTGAATATTATCACAGATTGCAATGGAAAGTTTCACGAGATAATTGTCGAGGAGGTTTTATGTATACCCCAACTAACCACAAACCTCATATCAGTAAGTGAAATTATTGCTAAAGGTAACAATGTTATATTTACCCATCAGGGGTGATCAATTGTAAATAGTTCTAATGTACAGATAGCCACAGCAAGTTTAGTCGATGGCGCTTACAAGATGAACATGAAAATGGAGCAATGTTTATTGGCAGCATCCCCAGAAACATGGTACAGACGATTAGCTCACATCAATAGCCAAGATATGTACAAAATGAAGGATTGTGTCAACGGTTTGTCTCTAAAAGAGATGGTAAACATAGACAAATCCAACTGCATGGTTTGTTGCGAAGGCAAACAGGCAAGGCTACCTTTATTGAACACAGATAAGCGTAGTCTAGATATATTAGATGTGATACATCGCGATCTCTGTGGGCCTATGGAAAATGTGTCCATTGGTGGCTCAAGATTTTTCATGCTGTTAGTTGACGACTGTAGTCGAATGTCATTTGTGTATTTTTTAAAGGCCAAAAGTCAAGCTTTTACCATGTTCAAAGATTTTAAGGCGATGGTAGAAAAGCAGAAAAAATAAGAAAATCAAAATTTTCCAATGAGTTTAAAATGTTTTTAAAAAATGAAGTAATAATACACCAAATGACTAATGCTTACACACCAGAACAGAATGGGCTTGCTGAACGTCATAATCGGACCCTTATAGAAAAAACTAGGTGCCTTCTGTTTGACGCTGGCTTAGAAAAACGCTTTTGGGCAGAAGCAGTCCATACTGCTAGTTTGCTGTCCGAGCTTAAGATTTTTGGTAGTTAATGCATGGTGCATATACCTAAAGAAAAGCGAACCAGATTTGACAAAAAGGCAAAAGGACACATTCTTGTTGGATACGCTGAGAATATTAAAGGCTATAGACTAGAGTCTATAACCCAGATATTGATGACATAACAACTAGTAGAGATGTAATTGTTTATGAAGATTATAGAAGCAAAAGATTTGAAAATATGTCAGAAGTAGTAAACAAAGAAGAAGTTGATGAAATGTCAGAAGCAATGGAGGATTTAGATTTTGATCCATCCGTTGAGAATATAAGTGAAGAAAGTTCATTTATTGACTTCGATGATTCAGACTCAGATTATATTCCAAATAATACTGTTGGTGCTGAAACTCAGAAGGTAGAAGTAAGAAAATCTGGAAGAGAAAGAAAAGAAAAGAAATATGAGGATTACGTTACTTACCTGCTCTCACAGGCTATGGCTTGAAACGACAAAGATGAATGGCAAAAGGCTATGCAAGAAGAGATGAATAATCTGGATGAAAATGAGACTTGGGAAGTTGTCGACTTACCTAAGAATGGCACAGTTGTTGAGTGTAAATGGGTTTATAAAGTGAAAAGTGATTCTGAAAATAATAAAAGCTGTCCTGCAAGGTTAGTAGCAAAGGGTTTTACCCAAAGAGAAGGAGTGGACTACAGTGAAACCTTCTCACCAGCTAGATATTCTACACTTAGGCTACTAATGGCTTTGTCAGTAGATTTAGGTCTAGATGTAAGTCACTTAGATGTAACCACGGCCTTTTTACATGGACATTTAGACGAAGTTGTGTATATGAGACAGAGGGTTTTAATAAACCAGGTCATGAAAACAAAGTTTTGAGATTAAAGCGTACAATTTACGGGTTGAAACAATCGTCACGTGTCTGGTATAAGAAGGTCGAGGATCTATTGTTGGGCCTAGGCTATAGTGAATCAAAGTTTGAACCTTGTGTTTTTATGAAACGTGTCAAGAATTTACTTACCATAATTGCTCTTTATGTTGACGATTTTCTAATTTTCTCAAATGACATAGCTGAAAGTAATGATTTAAAAGAAAAATTGACAAGTCATTTTAAATTAAAAGATTTAGGTCATGCCAAACAGATTTTGGGTGTGAATGTGTGCATTGATAAGAAAAATGGAGTCATAACTCTCGATCAGGGTAAGTATATTGATTCACTATTGGCTCGATTCAACATGGTTCATTGTAAAACTGTTGAAACTCCCATGGAAAATGGCTTAAATTTGAATAAGGGTGACAAAAATTGTGATTCGTCATTACATTATAGGCAGCTTATTGGTGGATTAATGTACCTGGTTGTCATGACTAGGCCTGATATTTCCTACTCAGTCAGCTATCTCAGTCAGTACAATAGTTGTTTTGATATCAGTCATTGGAAATCTGCTAAGAGAGTTTAAAGATATTTGCAGAAAACCAAGAATGTTGGTCTCAAATATAAAAAGGGTTCTAGGGAATTGTTGGGTTTTGTAGACTCTGACTGCGGTAGCAACGTAGTTGATAGGAGGTCTTATACTGGCTTCTGGTTTAAATATTCAGATTCTGTTGTATTATGGGAAAGTACTAAGCAAAAGACAGTAGCACTGTCAACCACAGAAGCCGAGTATATGGCCTTGTCTGAAGCTTCAAAAGAAGCAGTTTATTTAGGAAATTTGTTAGGTGAGATTAAAGGCTCTTTTGATTGTGTTCAGCTTTATTGTGATAACCAAAGCTCAATCAAATTGGGTAATGATCCTGTATATCACATGCGAACAAAGCACATAGATGTTCGACACCATTACATTAGAGATGTTGTTGCTAATAAGTTTATAAATCTTGAATATATACAAACAAGTGAAATGGTGGCTGACGTCTTGACTAAAGCTTTGCCTTCTGTTAAAAATTATAAGTTTTTGTAGAGTCTTGGAATTGTTAATGACATATGATTGTATTTTTTATTGTTTTACCTAGTGGGGGTGTTGATATTAGCTTAAAAAAATAAAAAATAGAACATAGCGCGCCCTCTAGTAGCAATAGTATGTATAGTCTTACTTTTGTACTTTTGTATCGTATGTCCCGTATGTCAGTATTGTCACCTGTCATGGAGACATGATTCTATGGAGACATGTTATTGTTTTCTAATAAAACAAAAGTAGTTCCTTTCGGACAGTTGAACAAGTCAGTGTGTTTCATTTTTCCTGCCGCCTGCTTTTTAATAAAGGGTGATAAATTTACCTGCACCTGTGGACATCGGATTGTGAACAGGATATAGGTACTTTGCGACCCGATCGTACATAAACATTATTAAGGCAAGATCGGCATTTTTTAAAAGTTTATAAATAAAACATCTCTATTTAAAAATAGAGATAACAAATTTTTAATAACTATAAGTTATAGGTATAAGTAGTTATGTGGAGTTTATGATAGGTAGGTATACCTACTCGAAACGACATGAAAGCTGATCAAATCATAGAACACAGTCGTTTTAGATGCCTTTTCCCAATTAAACTTTAAGTTATACAAGTAATTGCCAAAAAATATATTCATGATATTTTATTTATATTATAACTATAAATAAGTAGATATATTTTCCCATAAAATATTCAACTTTAAATAGATTTGTGTAGGTATATATAACATAGAATATAGATCACACATGCTGAGGAAGAAAAAAATGGTAGAAAAAAATATATAAAACTGTAGGATTGGTCTTTGATGGCCTTATAGGTTATAAACGCCATTTTCTCCCCACCACAGCAAAACATTTATAAATAGGTATATAGATAAGTAGTTTAATATAAAAAATATTTGGATTCTCTAGAATAGATTCTTAAATTCTAATAAGTCTTATATTGAAGGCACTTAAAATCCATTTTGCTTATGAATTATCTTTAAATGAGCAAGCATATTATCTTTTCTAGTAAAATCCTTACAACACACAGGGCAACTGTACATTTTGACGTCCATTTTATGTGAGGTCATATAATGTCGGCAAAAATTACTTATATGAGTATAAACTCTATCGCAAACTGTACAGCGATATAAATTATCCTTTTCCCTTATACAAAAATCGCGTGCTGACTTGTCAGGGTCAGCGATTTTTTTTGAATAATTGATGTATCGACAAACAGGACCATCATATTGAGGATCGTCCATTATTACTTCATAATTCATAAATTCATCTATATCTACCGTGGACCGTTTAGTTTTGTTTGTACCAGAACGTTCTTCAATTTCTTTAGATACTCCATTCGAATTTTTTGTAGCATCAACGGGCTCATCACTAACATCATCAGGTTCCCTTTCATCAACCTCTAAATCATCAGAAGATGAATCTTCAACAGTTTTGGATTCAACTCTAAGTTCTAAAGGCTGCTGTTGAGGAGGCTCGAAAATAGCAGTTCTAAACTCTGATCTTTTCAAGTAAGGCAAACCGTATTCTAGTTGTAAAGATGAATTGAAGTTGATGCAATGGACGTTGTTGTTGTGGGATACTTGAGGAAAAGCCTGGTCTTTTTTGGCTGAAACTAAAATAAGTATAGAAATCAGTTCAGCCACATAGCATGAAAATAATTGAAATGACATTACAAAAACATGATATATCAACTTTACCGACACCACGAAAACAAATATGATTAGTAAAGGGAAAAGCTATAGGGAATAAGCCGCATAGCGCGCAGGTTATGATGTTAATATAGACGACTCATAATTCATCAATGGCTCATTCCTTACACTCTTCCCTTACTTTAATAAAAATTGTTTTGACTCACCTCTCTGGAGTAGGTATGCGACGCACACTATAAATTCACTCACAGCACTATAGCTTTTCCCTTCACTAAACTTTTTGAAAAGAAAATTAGAAATATTAAAATTCGCGATTTAAATGAATTGCTTCTCAAAGCTTGTGTCAAACAGAAAAAAGTAAATGGTTTGCAGTACAATCAATAACTCATCTTGAAGTAGAAACTTACCAACTGGCATATCGTCCGAATTCCGCCTCTCACTAAAATTCTCTTGTGATGTGCCCGCAACAGGTTCATCCCCTGTTTCCTCTTTAACTTTCGCCACCTCATCTTCTTCCTTACTCGTGCTGCCATCTGAGTTGTTCCCCGCAAAACCATCCATACCCATTTTAACTTCCAACATTTCCGGACTACCCAGGACTACAGAGTCTTTAGCTTCTGACTCGTCGCCCGAATTGCCGGACAACCTTCTTGGCCTTCCTCGTTTCCTCTTCGGTTGCATTAGGTAGTTGCCTAGCATGTTGTAGTTTCCTGCTTGTGCTACAGATGGTCGTTTGTTTTGTTGCTGCTGTATACGTTGCAGATTAGGGATGGAATTTTGTTGACTCAGCGAGTTGGCAATGTTGTCGCATTTTTCTTCGTTTACCTTGAGGAAATAATCAACTTTGAGGAACTAGATAATTGAGATTACGGCTAATAAATAACATGTGAAATATGATAGTATGTATAAGCAAAAGACTTGAGTTGATTATGAATGGTAAGAGTAAAGTGTCTCAGAAAAAAATATAAGTCCAATGATTTTAGAAGGGGAAACTAATGATTAAGTTAAGTTTAAAATATTTTACCTCAGTTAATCCCTTAATTCTTAAGCTCTCCGCTACCCTCAGGAAATGTGTCAATCTATCTTGATCCACACTAACTTCCCCTCGATACATAAAATCCAGTAAACTCTTCATATCACTATAAGGAACATCCTTGAGGATAACAATCGGATGCTTATCTGGATGATTGATGAAGAGAGCTTGAAAATAAGGACTACAAGCTGACAAAACCATTTTATGAGCCCTTAAAAGTTGTCCTTCCACCGCCAAAGTAACGTCTACAAAGCTTTCGTCATGTAGTAGCTGATCAAAGACTGATAAGAGGTTGGACTGATGGTTGTTCCATCTGAGGCAAAAACGTTGCGTGGCCATGTTGGGTGGCGCAGTTGCTGCCGCCACTGGTTGGTTATATTGTTGCGAAAAGCGGTATGATAAACCAGACATGGGCGGTTCAGGCGGAATTTTGTATCTTTCGTGGAACACTGAAAAGAGAAAATATAAAAGTTAGATTTTTACCATAAATATATTGGCTACAGGTCAATAATTATAGGTGAAGAATTATCATGGTATTATTCTAAAAACGCAAATTAGAACAAGATAATATGCTGTAGGGTTCTTTGATTTGGTTTGATTTGATTTGATATCGTGGGTAGAGTATATCCATCGATCCAAAAGTCAATGTCAAAAGGTCTTGATAATTATAGATCGAATAGTTTTTCAGTTTTTATTAAGTTAACCAACCGAAACAAAAATATTTCTGTTTCACGATGCTTTCTTTGGATTACCACAATAAACACAACTTTAAATTATTTAATCTAACCAATAATTATTAGCAATTATTGAATTTCAATTCTCGCCACAAAATCAATTATGAATATTTTATCATTACAGAAACTAACAAAACTTATGAATTCAATTTCACCAATAACCCAGTACTCGGAGAAAGCAAAACCACGATTTGTACCTATATAGGTAGTACCAAAAGAGCATACCTAGTTGTTTATCATTCAGAGTAATAATAGCCTTGTAAGGGTGAGCCAAATTGAACACTATTGTAAATAAAATTCCACTGAATGATTTAAATCCTACCCTAGCCCATCAAAAGATTTATTAGCATATCGTGTGCGTCGCAAGTCGGGTGGAATAAATATTTTTTCGCATTTCGGGCGTGAAGCTAAAGATAGGTAAATAATCTTCGCATCTCGGGCGGTACCTACTAATAATAATATCACAGATAAGCCAAGTTACCTCATCTGTGATAAAATGGGCAATGGACGATTACGCGCCGCGGTCAGAAATTTTTTCAGGTACCACTAACTAGTACCATGGGCCGATAGCGCGTCGAACCCTTTTCACAACATGGGACGATTGCGCACCTACCTCATTCTATGGAAATCATAAAAAGTTGAAGAAAAACACATGATATAAAGAGGAAACATTTATTCTAGTTTTTTCACAAACTTATAGGATACGCTTTTTATGAACTCGCAGGGTGTTATTTCCTTACTTTTATATACAGTAATCACATTAGTGATATTATCCTGACGTTTCTTATAATTGCGGTTTCCGCGGGACACTGGTAAACGTAAGCTGTTTATTTAAATGTAAGAATTCATCTGAACATCCAATAAGGCAGCCATAAATCTAAATCTAAATATATCTGGATGGGAAAAATAAAAAGCTGAATTGAAGTCGCTATGGAATAACTCACAAGCGTTTATCGTTCTTTGATTAGTACTATCACAAGATGCCCATATTTCTGGCGGAAAAAAGAGATTTATCGGAAATATAATTCTCAACCAAGTAATCTGCATATTCAATGACACGCAGTGGAACTGAAAAGGTCGAGGAAAGGGTTCTGGAGGTGGAAAGTTTTTCATTATTGCCGAGAGATACTATAATTGACCGCTGTGCGAAGCGCCGAGGTGAACCAATTCTCGAGACAATAATGTAGAAACTTTCCACGGAATTATGTATACTATTTTATTTCGAACTATTAATTATTGAAAAAAATAAAGTAAAAATATGACAAAAATGGAATTAGGCTCTCCAAACCACGTGATTTTTCAATATGGCGACTGTGAAAAATTTGACGTTTGTTTGTTTATCTTGAGTTTATTTGGAAAATTTTCAAGCTAATAACAGTTTACTTTGTTATAATATACTTTTTGAGATGCAAAGTGAATATTTAAAGACTTAAATGCAGGAAAATCGGGATGTGGGCGAACGGTTAGTTTGAAAAAATGTCCAGTTGACATTTTGACCCAAAGTTTTCACATCAATGAGCAAATGAAGGCCTACAAAGCTTAGATTCTCACAAGTATTTCGAGTATAGCTTTATTTTAGATGCAGGAACAGTGGTACTGAATAATTTTCACGTTTTAATTGGAAAAGTTTGAAACGGTGGGCACTGAAAACAACCTGACATCATCCTTGTTGAAACGCCTTCCAAAATCAACTACAAGACACCTTTGTGGCATTTTTAATTAGAAAAAACCCTTATGAAGTCAATAAAATAAAAAAATAAATAGGGTTTATGGCCATTTTTCCAGCACTCGTAAAGGATAGTTTAAGGATTCCTTAGTGGTAAGGCATCCTTAGCGGTAGCTTTTCGTTTGCTTTGCTCGTTAGTTGTCCCTTAAGGACTCCTTAACTTAAGTCGCAAATTTGGCGTCTTAAGTTTATAAGGTAGAGAATTCTAACCTCAAAATTTAATTTGACATTTTTGGTTTGGCATGTTTTTTCGAATTTATTTGTCAAATTGGATTATTGTCTTAAAGTTAATTTAACATAATAGGTTCACAGTTCACGTTCACATACCAACCATAAAGTATTAATGTGGTTTGAAAGTTATATTTTTTGCCAAGATGTCGTTATCCTTATGTACTTTGTTTTCAAAAACACTACGAAGAAACCAGGGCATCCAAGGACATACTTTTATTATTAATTTCTTTTGAAGGAACAATACAGTCAGTCCCTTTTAAATCAGCTACTCACAACTTTGCGGTTTTAAGCGACAGGGGGGCATCAAGTGTTGCAAATTTAATAGGAATGGATACCAGACAGTATCTAGAATAGTGAAGAGGACATCCGACATCTGAAGCATTGGCTTCCGCCTGTAGAGTTAACAAATTCGACAAATATCAATATCAACCAGAAATAGAAACAAAAATTATGATTATTTTCGACAGTTTTCGACTTTCTTTTGACAGAAATGCAACGCTGCCAGACCGTACTTTGTTCTTTATTAAGGGTTGATCCTGAAGACCGCTGAGCAACGCAACAAGTCTTAAGGGCTACTTAAAATATAAGTGTACCTTAACTATTCCTTACTTAACGCAATTGCCGGGAAAACGGCTATTAGTCACAAAACAACCACACTATGCACTTTAAAAAGCCTCAAATTCTGATGTACTGTCATATACGGAATAATGAATTTCCGTCCCGGACGCCATTTTGGTATAATTTTGACAGGTCGTTGGAATGCCTAATTTCGACTGACAGTCTGACACCGACATTGACATCTTGTGAAATTTCAACAATATAAACACATGTGACATCTACTTCTAAATACAAACATTGCACTGGATTTGTGTTTAGGTGTGAAAGGACAATTCATCAGGGCCGAAAGTGACAGGAGAATAGTCACTTTCGGCCTGCTTTAAAATAAACAAAAGTAAAACGACATTTTCAAACCGCCAAACCAGTAAGAAATGCATTAATTACATATATGGTTCAATATAATAGTTATTTATGATATAAGTGTTAAAAGTACATTTTTAAGGCACGCATGTGAAAGTTTGCAGAATGAGCGAAGCGAATTCTGCAATTCACATAAGTGCCTTAAAAATACTTTTAACACAAATATCATACAATATTTTTTCTACAAACGGCAATAAAAAGCAATAACCACTAACAAATTGGATTTTTAAATGAATAATAAATTGGAAGCATCTTTCCTACATAAAATTCTTGAATTTGACATTTGTCAAAAAATCCATACAACTAGCACCTTGTTTTACAGGTAACAAAATGTCTTGTCAGTTTCTTGAAAGTCTGTCGTGGTCAGATACAGAAGAAACAGAGGGTTGCATCGATCCTTCGAAAAATATAGATGAGGCGGTCAATCGGGCTACCTCAGTTGTTCAAATTTCACCATTAATATCAATGTAAATAACTGAAAATACAAACTTTTTTTGACGTCCGCTCTCAAAATTTGATGTTTCACTTTTAACACTAGTGCTATAAAGACTTTATGGCACTAGTGCGATAAAGTAACATTTTTAATGCTTCGGGGCCGTGTTAAAAATTGCATTTTTAACACGTTTGTAGAAAAAATAAATTTTATTATTAATTTTTAATTAATGCATTTCTTACTGGTTTGGCGGTTCGAAAATGTCGTTTTACTTTTGTTTACTTTGAAGCAGGCCGAAAGTGACTATCCTCCTGTCACTTTCGGCCTGGAGAACTCACTTTCGGCCCTGATAAATTGTCCTTTCACACCTAAACACAAATCCAGGTGCAATTTTTGCATTTAGAAGTAGATGTCACGTGTTTATATTGTTGAAATTTCCTAAGATGTCAATGTCGGTGTCAGACTGTCAATCAAAATTCCATTTTTGTCATATTTTTACCTTATTTTATTCAATAATTAATGGTTCAAAATAAAATAGTATATATAATTCGGTGGAAAGTTTTCATATCATTGTCTCGAGAATTGGTTGACCTCGGCGCTTCGCACCTCGGTCAACCATATTATCTCTTGACAATAATGAAACACTTTCCACCTCCGCATGTAATATACTATTACATTAAATATCATATTAAAAAATTATATTATTTGTATGTATACATTACATCACAACACAAATTAATCATTAATAAGTCAATTTTTCCTTCTGCCAAGTCTTCCACAATCGTATTAATCTGTCGATGACTCGTGTGTAAACTTGCTTGTTTTTCAGCTATACTATAAAATCTTGTTCCCTCTTCAATAACTTTCAATGACTCGTGAATATTTGGATTGGCTTTTCCCATTCTTTTATTGAGTCTGTTGTGCCAGCCCTCTACTGTATTGATGGTCCTATGTCTCTCCTTGTAGACTACCCATAACAAATCATTGTCCAATCAGTGATCAACAAAATAATCATTGAACAGACACAGAGCCTGGTTAAAGTAGAAGTTGCAACCTTTAACTGTTGTCTCTGGAAAATCTCCTTGTCGTAGTCAATATGTATTTTTTCTGGAAAAAATTGGGGCACACACTGTCGAATCATTTGGAAAAACGGCCTGTACGTAATGTTTGTTTCACCAGGGTTTGTACTTGCCACCAGCATTTGCCTTCCTTGTTTAACAAATAAAAATTGACTGAAACAAATCAATGACGTCAAAAACGTTCGTCGGTTCTTGAACCAAAAGTCATTCATTTTAATTTGTCAAAAAAATTGAATGTGTCATTGAATTAATCTACGACCATCCTATTTTTTTCAAGTTTTAAGGTCAAGTATGAACCCTGGTGAAACGAACCTTACTTTGCTTTCTGTCTGCAAGCAAAGCATACACTGCAGGTACAACTACCGTTGATTGCTCAGTGCTTCCTAGATTCACGTGTATGGTGTATAATTGCTCAAACAATGGGCAGCAACTTTTAAAAGTTCCATCCACAAAAAAATAGGTTTCACTCTAAGATTTCCTTGGATGTTGGCGAACATGATTGATCTTTCTTCTGTTTCATTGTCCGCTAAAACACATTATTTGGCTCAATCTGGAATCTGTATTTCACTACTACATTTTGGTATCCGTTGAATTCCTAGTTTCTTATTTATTTGTGTGTACAATGTATCTTTGATAGACATAAATGTCGGAATGTCAATGATCAAATCTAGTCCAGCATCTTGTAAGTTCATTAGCTGTTGCCTGAAAATTTGTGGCACTGGAGTCATTTCTTCACGGGCACGTTTCTTAGATCCGAACAGGCTTATTTCGACTTCATTTTTGGCTACACGAGGGACACAGGAACCTGGACAAAAGCGCTTTATACAGATCCACCTTTCAGTGGAATACTGATTCCGACACTTCAGTGAATATTTGTATTCAGAACGTAAAATGGAAACTTGGCCTCGTTGAGTTTCCACTACTTGAACCTCCATCGTCTTTCAAAATAAAAATAGTAAGTAATAACAATAGAACTCTCACTTCACAAAATCTAAGTGCAAACTGAAATATGAAAATGAATTGCCTTTCCGTTTTATGCAAAAATTTGTAATTAGTACCTCTATCTACCCAAGTACTTGACCTGTCCAATTGAGGGGTTCTTATTGTAGCCGATATTTGACTCAATTAACCCACCTGGAACATACTATTAGTATTTAGGGTACAGTAAGCATGGACAACTTTAATACCTCATCGAACCGCCCGCGAACTCACAGGTATTACATATTTTTGGAGGGAGCTCGAATTGCGACAAATTCAGGTAGTTTTTCATTACGCCCGAGTTGCTAACGTAGAAGTTAAGAAAACACCCATCAAAAAATATATCAGATACTTATAACTTCTAGTAGGTACAAAGGACAAAACAAGTGATTTTTATTCAACCGCCTGTCTGATTAAAAAAAAAAAAATTGATCCACTATTACAGATGGACGAGACATCCCATTCACAAACTGATATTTGCTGTAATGCCAATGCATGCAGAGTGAGTTCTAAAGGCAGGCCAGAGTAGAATACCGCAAAATAGTACCCTATTCACGATTTAAAATAAGGTAGTATCAACAACAGTAACATACTCGAAACACTTCTTGTTCTGTCTGCCTCAAACTCATTTGAAATAGGTGGGTACACGTTGCTTATGACAGTGATAAGGGTTGCCCACACCGGGCAAACTGTAGCCAGACAATCGATTAAAGCATTATATTATGCTGTAATTGCTCTGACGTTTCTCAAAGTACAAATTCACTTAGTGTGTGCTTGCGCCGGACAATGGTCACGTGAATTATGGAAAGTTGCATTTTACAGCATTCTGAGACAAAATGATCCCTTGTGCTGAATTCATTAAGCTGCCTGTCCAACAGGTTGACAGCTTCTGAGTTAATTGGTAATAATGATACTTGTATACTTGGATTTGCGATTCTTTGAAATCTTTTGGTTTCTTTTTTTTTAATATTACATTTACTCTTGCTATTATTTGTGCTGTTTTGCTTCATAATAATCATAATATAAATATATTCCAGAGCAAATGTAGTTTCACTAATTTCTTTTCTGTCTATTTCGAATATTCTCTGAGCACAAATTCATATTTATAACTTTTCCAAATTTCTGCAGAGTGCAGAGTTTAGGTTTTTAAAGTAATTTTCAGTTATTTTTACAATATCTGCTGTGTTTATTATTCATATATTCGATTTTTGTCCTTCATTGCTATGATCTCGTATTTTGTTTCCTTTTCTGTTAAGCATTCGAGTTTTTTGTTTCTCTCTAACTCTTTTTTCCATTATCTCGTAGGTTTCCTCCCACTCTTTTCTTATAATTTTCTTTGTTTCCTCACCTATTCGTAGACCTCTGTTGCATGGGTGTAGGCTGGTCTCATTTCAAATGGGTTTTTGGTACGTTTTCATCTAACGCTGTTTTTTTGAGTGTAGGTAGGTACCTACCTACTTGGAGGGTTTTCGATAATTTATTTATTTCATGTTTGATATTGTCATTTTGCTTTAGGACAACCCGCAGCTGTTCTCTATACGTTTCACTATTGATGTTATGAGTTGGGTTTATGTGTTTGATCTTCCGGGTTTGCCTGTTTTTAAAATATAATATTCAAATAGGAGTTGATAGTGTCAATTTTCACTTTTGGCAAATAAATTCGCAGAGACTTTAATCCTAACTATTATGCTTAAGAATCAATTTCTAAAGGTCCGACATGGTTTCGAGATACTTGCCAGTTGAAGGCCCAAATGTGTGGTAAGTTGAACCCCGCTTACTAGAAGTATATAAACCGATTACTTAATTTAAGTAAATTCCAAGCAAAATTTCAACCATGATATAACAGGTTGATTTTTAAATGTAAAATACGTGTCACGTTGTCGGAGAATACCTGATTCCTTAATTAACTAGTGGCTTCAATTAGCTGTAAAATGACCGATTTTCCCCTATAATTATCTGACGTAAAAACTAGTAATAACTATCAAGTTACCCTTAACTAATTATGTTGGTGCCGTTCGAGACGCAGTTAGGTATTTGAAATTGGTTCATGAGTAATTGCTATTTAATGCTACCATATTAGGTATTTTTTTTAGGTTCGGTCGGCTCCTTTATTTCTTCAATAATTATTGAAGCTTGTCAGGTCGGAATGGAAATAACTTTTCATGGAACTATCACCTGAAAACAAGTGAAAGTTGGATAACATTTACGTTTTTCAACAATTTTTGCACCTAGAATATACACCCCTGGAATTTGGTGCAATCATCCCGACTCACCCTGTATACAAAATGTGATGGGCCTTTTGAATCGGGAGGAATATTTTATGGGAGGAATATACGCCAATCATTCTATACACAAAAAACAGGCCAACGTTTTTATTGTATGGGGTAAACCTAATTTTTTTATATGCTCTAGGGTCCACCTGGGTATAGTATACATCCAAGTTTGCAGAATCGCACCTTGACCCAACTTCGGAAACACTCTGTATATTTGAATAATACCTTATTTATTATTCTAGAAATTTATTATAGTCACTGAGAACATTTAAACTCGCCTACTCTTCAAAACTATTATAGAGCCACTTGAAACATTTTGCATATATTGTAGACAGAAAGGTGAAGTAAGTATTGCTCGAGAAAATTCGGGAAATTCTCAAGGATAGAAAGCATTCTCTTGTCTCCTCTTTCACCTATGTTTCACACCCCCCCAAACCAGAATCTCTCATCACGGCGACATCACTAATTTTTCGGGTAAAACTTAGGTGGTACAACTCTTTCGGGGTTGCAAATTTAGATTTAAACTGCCCAGGTAGATCCAAGCAACATATAAAAAATTAGGTTTACCTTAATTATCGCAATATTTGATGTATGTATTGGGTGATTGTCTATATTTTGCACCCCCTATTCCACCTTTTTGAAGAGATAAAACAGTAATGTCAAATGTGAAAGTTGTAGGTAATATCAGGAACTTTGCAATGAAGTTAGTTAAAAGTCTACAGGGTGTCACAAAAGTGTTGCGAAGTATATTATTGACCTATTGGATTACCCTTTCAAGCCTGATTCCAAATATACTAGGTTTTTTAGGTTTATTCCTCATCGAAGCTCTGAATATCCCATTTTGAAGAATATGATTTTTTTACTTAAATGATTACCTTTGTATTTTGCTAGTGGTCTCTATTCTTCACCTTCTCCAATAAAAATGCAATTATTGCACCCTTTCTTTCTTAATATCTGCCGGACTATTAGGAATAAACCTAAAAACCTAGTATATTTGGAATCAGGTTTGAAAGGCTAATCCAATGGGTCAATAATATACGGGGTGTTTCATTTTAAAATAATTTTAACTTTGCTTTGCAATACTTTTGTGACACACCCTGTATACTTGTAACTAACTTCATTGCAAAGTTTCTGACATTACCTACATCTTTCACATTTGACATTTCTGGGTATCTCTTGAAACAGGTGAGATATGTGTGGGTGCAAAATATAGACAATCACCCGGTTACAGGGTTTTCCCATATACCGGGTGCCCACGAGATTACTTTCCGGCTGCCATTTTTCTATTTGTTCATCGATATCAACGAAACTTGCTAGGCTTGATATTCTAACGAAACGCCATTTTTATGCATGTTTGACAAGTTTTCCTGACTTCCGGTTTTACCGGAAATTACCGAAACTGTATATTTTTTGTTTTTCGGATTCTACAGATCATTTTACGTCCTCATGTACCACTTTTAAATCGAGTTTTGTCCAAATTTCGTTTTCAAATCAAATTTTAGGTATTAAAAAAAAAAATTGCCTACAACAATATTTGAACGAAAATTAAGGAAAATGTCGTAGTGTATTATATCGTTGGATTCGCATTAAAATACTGCATTTAATAGTATTATGAAAGTGATATGTTTCTATTCTAGTTTTTCTATTTTGGTGTCATATCGAAGTCTTTTCGACACTAAAATTAGTTTCGAAAAGAAGCTCTTTGTGACACTCCTTTTTTACTTATCGAAGGTTGATAACACTGGCTGACTGATGGCCATCGAACTGTCATTCGCGATAAAAAATAATAGAAGATTTCTATATTTGGCATGTAGTGTTACCAACCTAAACATATGAAATCAGGAAATATGAGAATAAAATTTCCAAGAAAAGTTTTTTTTTTTTTTTAATTAAACAATACCAAAAAAGAAAAAATAGTATAAAATATTCGTTTCAAAAGACATTTTATCGCACTCGCCCTTTAGAAAACGAGCCGAAGGCGAGTATATAGGGCTCGTGCGATAAAATAACGTCTTATGAAACTTGTATTTTAATGTACTATTTTGGGCTAGGGCAAAAATACTGAAATAATGAAGTTTACAGCCCTCAATCAAAAAAGTTTACAAAGATAAAATTGAGTTTGTATTTTTCTAAAACTAAGGAAAGTATGTGGAGTCATTTTAGGATGATCATGGCACTCTGGTTAAAAAATTAAAATTTAAATAAAAAACATAATTTGGACCAAAATCGATTCAAAAGTGGTGTATTAGGATGTAAAACGATGTGTAGAATCCGAAAAACAAAAAATATACAGGGTGTGTCATTTAAAAATCAAAAGTTGCGGTCATTTCCGGTGAAACCGGAAGTCAGGAAAACTTGTAATAAATGCATAAAAATAGCGTTTGGTTAGAATATCAACCCTGCCAAGTTTCGTTGACATCGATAGACAAATAAAAAAATGGCAGTCGGAAAGTGATCTCATGGGCACCCGGTATTTTGGCACCCCACCTAAAACAGGTTATTCAATTAACCTGTTCAGGTGGGGTGCAAAAATATACGGAAAAACCCTGTACAACAGGTGAGTAACTATATTTTGACACCCATCTGGAGTTTAGTTATTATTAGTTTCTTGAATATATTTTACCTTGATTTGCCTGTCACCTGTCACAAAACATTCTGATACAACAGGTCTTTAAGTAACTAAA